ATCTGCTGTATTCTGCTGTTAATATTTTGGGAGGTGATGGGAAGGTTTGTGTGTGTGTTTTGCTTCCATTGCACTCGTGTATTACTGGCTGTCCGTTCTGGTTCTCAGCTGTTGGTGATGCAGACAATTAATGGAGGGTTCAGCCCAGGCATTATGATAATAGAGTGCCCGAGGATGTGCCATGGCCACCCCTGTGGCTCTGTAGCTCATACTACCGAAAAGCTCTTTGCCCTTTGTCTTGCTGTATTAATAACCTTCGTATTTTGTATTTTGGTATTATAAAGTTGGCCCCAAGGTGCCTAAATAAAGATAAGTTGTTTGAAATGCAGCGAGAGGAAAAGGGCAAGGAAGACGTCTTCTCTTTTGAGGAGAGTATCTTTTTACCAGTGGCGTGCTTTCTACCCGCTCAAAAGTGAATCTCGAGGTCGCTGATGGGTCTCAGCCAGCTTGAATGGGGGATGACGTTTTTAGAGAGCTGCTACAGAGGAAGGACTCCAGGAACTGCTGTCGGGGGGCTGGTTTAGCATTGAACTCAGGGTAGCCTGGCTGCTGAGCTGGCCACGCGCTGGTTCTCCTTGTTCTTTGGTTGTAGAGTTTTGAGAAAAAGGTGAAGCGAAGCAGGATCTTGGGAAATGGGTGTGGAGGTGCTGAAAACGTGTATGCTGTCCTAAGGAGGCTAATGCTGAGGGAGAAAACAGATATCAAAATGAGATGAAAATAGGATGGATGGAAACAAAAAGGTGGATCAGAAGGGAATAGGACGGGTGGGTTGCTTGATTGTTGCATACAAGTAATGCTAGTAAATGGTGGGGAAGGGATTTGGTGGTTCCTCCCCTCCCTTCTTGGCTAACCTTGTGGACAAGCAAGCGAAGCACCTCTGTGGAGCCACTGAGGACCCACTCCCGATTAAATTCCTGAGCGGCGTTAGTCCAAGTGAGCCTTTTCCCACACCTGATGGTAAAGGGCAGGAAGAGGAAAGCTGCGGAAACAGCCACATCCAGATGTGCAGGACTTCAGGTTAAATAGGTCCCCTGCCACGACAGCTTAAATCGTAATGTCTGACTAGGTGCTGTCTCCATACGATGTTACATCTGTGGCGCTGTTCCCTTTCCTCTAGAAGCAGGCTTAGGTGCAACTGTGTAGCAGTTGCTGCTGAGCAGAGGAGTATGGTGCAAACCACCCAGCATTTTTGCATGCAAAAAATTTACCCGAGTAGCGGTAGGAAGGGTTTGCTGCCTGCTTCTCCTGGTTGCTGCCTATCCAAGCTCCGGAGGACATCCCTGAGGGTTCGGGCTTTGCAGCTTGCTGGGTGAGGTCCTTAGTAGCTCAATGAAAAAGTAGTAGTAATGGTAAATAATTAATTGGTGCAACTTGCTATTAGGAAGGCTTCCAGTACGTGCATCGGTCGCTGTAAAATAAGTTGGGTGAATAATGCAAATTTATACTTAATCTGCAGTTAGGAATGAATTTAGGACAGAGAGAACAGAGGAGTAGATTGGGTTCATGGAGGCAGTGGAAGGGCATAAAGGCTGTTTTCTCCTTGATCCTTGTAAAGCCTTGACTGCAGGGAAAATCTGTTTTCTTGGAGAAATAGTTCCTTTGAATGATGGTCTTTCTCCACTAGAGAAGCTGGAAAAACACAAAAAAGTTAGGTCTTTTCTTTCTCCCATCCCCTTAGCTGTGCTGACTAGTTGGGCAAAGAGAGCGTGGTGCTCTGTTCTGGCTTTTGAAAGCGTGGGAGCAATTTCCTATCGTGTTTCTATCTAATACAGGAGCTCTGGGAGCTAAGCGGACAACACGCCTACATCCTGCCGCCCTGCCCCCCCGAAAGAGCGGTGCCCCAAGGGCACAGTCTGCCCCGCAGCTAAGGAGCTACGCGACTATTTTCAGCTGCTGTTAAATCATTTGCTGTCTTCTGTAAAAATAATTGAGAATTATAGCAGAAAAGTCAATGGCTCTAAAATGGCCAGGCTGATGGAAGACTGAGAGTTCAGAGGAAACCTGGTCCTGCATGACAAGGCCTCTCTGTAGTCTCCAGCCTGCCTAAACGCAGTCGTTTTTCCCCAGCCAAAAGTAGAACATGAATATTTCCTATCCTGTAAAAACTCCTTAAAAATGAAATTGCTAGGTCCCATCTCCTGCACTGCAAGCTTTCATCTTAACTATGTTTTGTATGCTGGAGTCAGAAATTAGCCCCTCAGCTTTCAATTCCTTTGACCGTAGCAGCGAGTTGCTCCCGTTGATGGTAGATGACAGGGGCTTTGAAGCCCTTTCCTGCTTTGTTTTACATAACTCTGAAGCCAGATCTGCCTCGGAGATGTTTTGTTTCTCTTTATCCCATGAAAATTTCTACAGGGTTGCAGTTTATTAATTGGAAGGTGGTATTTTTTCATCGCAGCATTCAGTGTACAAATCTGTAAGGTTTTTTCATCGACAGTGCTAGTGCGTTTTTCACTTTAAGGAGTAGTTCTGCAAAAAAAAACCCCAGCTTAGGGGAAAGAATTAAACCCATTCTAATGATCTCCCAGGGAAAACAAAATAAAGTGTATAGTATCATCTGCTTGATCTTTAATTATTATTTAATTACTAATATGCTCTTGAATTGCACTCTGTTGGACGATTTCAGAGGACTGCTGTTGTTATGTTAACTTGTTCCTTCCAACACCCCGGTGGTTTTAGCGGGTTATTAGAGAGGAAGCGGTTTATGAAGAGTGGTGTATAACCGGAGGTACCTCAGTGTTACAGGCAAAATTCAGTGGGATGTGGAGGCTACATCTGTAGAGTAAGAAGGGAACGATTCTGGAGGCGGGAGCCTGGGAGGCTGCTGGGGAGAGAGAGTCCCTTGTGCCTCCCGTGAGCGCCAGGAGCCGCCGGCAAGGGCCAGGAGCACGAGGGAGACGGATGGTGCTTTTCGAGGCTGTTGGGATTCAGGGGCTGGCGAGGCCGAGAACGGGCACCACTCGCTTGCTGAACCCGAGGTACTGGTCTGGGGTAGGAGATGGTGTCCAGCACCCTCGTTCCGAGCCCTTCGATCGCTGGAGTTTGGACAACTTCGGTGTCCTCTGCCTACCACCCCCGCCTACCACCCTCTCTTCTCCCCTCGCTCCAGGGCCCCAGGCTTCTTTCCTCTCCTGTGCGCACGTACGTGCTGGTCCCTCTCTGTTTCTTCCAATGCGGGATGTTTTGTTACGTGTTTAAATCAAACCTGAGGGAATAGGCTTTTCTTTACCTCCTTATGTCCTGAGCCAAATATACAGGTGAGTTCCCCGAGTGTAACTGAGAGCAGGTACGCAAGGGACAGGTGGTACCTGGAAGCAGGTATGACCTCATAGAATTTCATTGTCTACTGCTGGTAAAGACCTTCAGAAAGAAAACTTCTAAAAGCTCAGTAAAGAACTTGCTGTGTAAACGCATTTTTTTGTAAATGCTTCAATTATGGACCCACAGAAAACAAACACCACGAAACACCTTTTCAAAAGAGCTGAAGGCCTTTTAAAACCATCTGGATCATCAGACCTGCATGATGTCAGGTTGTTTCAGGGGAGATGCAGCAATGGAGCTTCACCAGTGAAGCCAGGTTAAGTTTGGGGAAAAAGTCTGTTGGCGTAAGAGCAGAGGGGGTTACAGCATCTGCTCCACACCATCCCCTCCCAAAAAAAAAAATCAGAAAAAAACAAAACCAAAACCCAACAAACCAAAAAACAAAACAAAACAAAAAAAACAACCCCAAACCCTGTTGGTGGTATCAACTGTTTTCACTGTGCAGGAGAGCAGGGCTCTGGGGGGGGACAGAGGTGAAGGGAGGGAGAGAGGGACGTGTGGTTTTACCTTTCCCTGAGGGCCCAAGAGATGAGAGGATTTCTGTTACTTGCCAGGAAGGGCTGACCAAGTCAAGGCAATCATGAAGTAATTGGGACAAACCGCAGATGAGACTCAGCATTATCTGCAGTGGCATAAACCACTGTTTACAAATTAGAAGCACTAAATATTAAAGGAAATGGCAGCAGCAGTAAAAGGTTTTAATTAAAAAAAAAAAAAAAAAAAATTCAACAGCTTTGGGATTCGTGGAAATGGCCTGAATGTGTCCTCTTGTACTAACATGCTTTGACAGTGAAAAATAGATTCTCTCACGTATTTTTATTGCTCCACTAATTTAATAAAATAGCGTTCAATTGTCCATCATACGTTGCTCTAACGTGGAGAGGGCAAGGCGAGCTAATGAAATAAGCTGAGCTGCTGGGGTGAGAAAGCCGTGCAAAGCTGCGGGTAGGAGCAGTGTAAGGGACGTGCCGATACGGTGCGGACATGGTGCGAACACGGGCAGTACCGGAGTGAGAAAACACTCTGAAAGTGGGCTGGGGGGGGAGGAGGAGATCCCAGGGTGACTTGAGCAGCTGCTTCTGTATAAACCTTACCGAGCAGCACATCCTCCTTCGGCAGGATTAACAGTGGCATGGAAGCAGCACTTCCCTGCTTCGCAGACCTGCTGAGGGGGGCAGCGAGCTCATATGTGGGGCTTTTTACCTCTCTAGTGCAATAGGTTGTTTCTTACCCATCTGCCTCCTTGGCCAGGAAGAGACTTCACCTTATTGATGTTTCACTTCTGTTCAAACTTTAGCTGAGGAAAAGAAGCTTAGATGTACTTAACTAAGCATTCTTTCAGCTTTTCTCAAAAACAGTGAGTTTAGATTTTCTTCTTTATTTAGAGGGTTGGGCTCTTCTTAATACATTTCTGCATGAATGGGAATAGTATTGGAAATTAAAGGGGCTATTGAGAATGGCCAGGATAACAGAGCGGTGACTGGCATTGCAGAAAGGAGCATTAAAATAAGCAAGAAACTGTGCTTTAGTGATAATAACAGTAGAAAAACTCTCAGCTAAACCGGGCTGATAGAGTACACTGAGCGTGCCGGAAGGCTGGCGCTCCTAAAAGCGACCGAGACCAACAGGGAGACACAGTGAGAAAAAAATTAAAAAATCCCACACCACTAAAAGACATGTTCTGAGTGATTTATATGCTGTTTGTTTATTAATAATGTGCTAACAAGGCATCAGTTACAAACATGGGATGACAAGGTGACCTATATCCAAGGTGTAATGCAGAGATGTGAGGATTTATTAAGAGTAACCCCCCCCAGAGCAAAGTGCTGACACTCACCTGGTGGCTGCTGGACAGGAACCCTGCTGCGGGGGGGGGTGGGGGTGGTGGTGTATTACTCTGAGGGGGGCTGGGCCAGAACCTGAAATACTACACGGAGCCGTTGGCTTTAAGGCGTGACAAGAAGGTAACCTCTCCTGACCTCTACACCGTGCAGAATTTCCAGGCTCTGCTGTCTGCAGGCAGCCCTGCTGGAATCGGGCGCGAGGCCCCGTTCGGTAGCACCCCTGCCCCTTCCTCATGGCGTTAGCTGCTTCCCACTCCGTAGCCCAAAGAGGACTCGCCAAGACCTAGACGTGTTACTAAGATCTCAATGCGAATGTGCTGGAGGGAATTTGAGTAGCAAACGTGTGCTATGTGGTTTTTTTTTTCGCCCCCCAAACTTCTCATTTTGTTTCATTTAACAAATAGTAAAGTTAGGGAAGGTGGAGCAGCGAACTGTAAAATTTTTAATTCATGATCCCTACTGGTTTTACGGGGCTTCCTAACCAGCCGCCTAGAAATTATACTGCTCCACTGTCTTGAGCATAGAGACAGAGTTGCCCCCAGGAGGAAAAAGAAAGTTTATGGTTATTTTTGCTGCCCACATTGCGCTGGGGAGGTGGTTGTGCTGCTGTGCAGAACAGAGTAATAAATGACACAGAGCCGCAGCCCAGAGTCTGGAGCTGCCTCCCAACAGCAGCCGGTGACGCACCGTGAAGTTCTGGGGTTTGAGGGAGCCCTTTCACCTTCACGAAGACAAAAAACATACCGAAGGATCTAGTTAATTGCCAAGCAAGGACATCATGAGTAACAACTGTAGTCTGGAAAAACTTAGTGATGTGGCAGGGAAGACATGTTAGAATCTTCCTCCCCCCACCCCAAAAAAAAAAAAAAAGCACAAGTAGGTTTTGGATTTAAAAAGACTTACAAAATTTTCTTTCTCTTAAGGATCTTAAGAGACACCCTAGCAGTCAGCCTAGCAGTGACCCCAGACTAACAGCATGAATCTTCCTTCTGCGCTCTGAGTTAGAGTGCAGCCATTCAGCAAGCTGCTTACTGGCACAGTGCTGCATTGAGGACTCTGCTGTCGTAAGGAAAGTAAATAAAATCACTAGTTACCTTGCAAAAAACCTGATCGTTTGTATGACTCGAGATATGTTTCTCTTTATTTCACATGCTGATCTCAGAATAATGATTTATTTCATATGTCTTCTTTTGTGCAGTGATTAGACATTGTTAATACCTGATTTATCTGAAGTTCTGACTGTAACAGCAGATTTACTAGGGCTCACAGAAAACAGTCGGAAGCAGAACACCGATCAATGTCGATGTTTAAAAGGCCTTTTGAAGAGTTAGTCTTACTGTTGCGTTGCAGCCAGTGCTATTTTAGTGACCTTATTACCTATGTGGTGTTAAAAAGCTTTTTCTGGGGCTTTTTGTGTAAATTTCCAAGGCCAGGTCTTGGATGAGGGGAGATCTTTAGATCTTTCAATCCAGATGTAAGTTGAGGGCCCGGACCCTGGGCCAGCAGCAAGCAGCCCAGCTGACTGGATCACGGTGTAGTGATGCAGGTAAAGGACGTGGCCCAGCAGCGTGACGTTTAAAAAGCCGTATGTCAGGAAACACACGCAGGTGAGCGGGGGCCACGCGTGTCCCTGGCGCAGGAACCCCCGAGCCCTGTGACTGCAGCGTGACCCGGGCCAGGCTGGTGTGTCCGCGCGTCGCATCCGTCTTCGGGCCCACGGCACGGCCCCGCGGTGCATCACTGCAAGTGCTCTGCTGAAATCACGCCGGTACAAAAACAGGGTCGTTTGTCACTGGAAGAGAATGGGTAGGCTTTTTTTTTTTTTTTTTTTTTTTTTTTTGACTCTGTGCTTCTAATTAATCCAATGGCACTTGCAAATAATTTAAGCAAGCGTTATTTTACAGATTTAGAGAAAAGCAAAACATTTAACATATAGTTATTACATAAGGGCAGAAAAGGATGAAAAATCAACAGACAAAATAGGAAGTCGAAAAGCTGCAGAATATTAGACTATTTCTCTGCCTCTAAATTCACTCATGACTTGAACAGGATGGATTCTCTTCTTTGCAGAACCTTTTCTGACGGCTGCATAGATTTCTTCTGGCTTCTCCCTTTTAATTAGCGGCTTCTTCTCTGGAGCTTTCATTCTCCACATCACCACAGGATGCCGTGGGCCAGTAGGACTCTGAATCTTGATAATCTTTGTGGATGCAATGTAGGACATCTTCACTGTCTGCACCACGGCATTCATTAAATTTTTGGCAGCCTGTATTAGGGAAGTGACGCTATCCAACTGTAAGAAGAAACAGAAACAATAGCCGAGGAAGCCTGATTTTAATCATGATACACTTAGAAATAAAAACTAAGACTACTGTGCTGAACCCTAATTTCTTTGTTTTCCCTTGGTGAGTTTGATCATTATATTCATGTTCCCCTGCTCAGACTTACTGATACACAGAAAATAGTGCTGGTGGAATATAAATGTTTCTGTAATTTTCTTTTTTTTTACAGGTGAAATCATGATGCTTGTCTGCAGGGTCTCGTTGCAATTGCTACCTGCGGGTAACGAAAGCAGCTCAGGCAAGAGCTGCGAGAATGGGACCCGGTGGTTCCTTTGGATGGGCGAAGCCTCCCCTTGCGCTCAGGCTCCGGCGCGATGCCGGGACACGGGAAGGGCTGGTGATGTCAGAGCTGCTGAACTTGGTCCTGGAGGCCAGGATTGTACAGGGTCACAGAAAAGCAGGACAGAGCGCACAGAAATTGTGGTGACGGCGTCGCCTCTCCAACTGGTTAAGGAGCACTGCCAGCCTCAGGGGCAGAATGTGCAGCAAGTTAAACTACTGGGGCCAGTTGGGGACACCTGGGGACACTTAGGGACACCTGGGGACACCTATGGACACTCGGGGACAGTTGGGGACACTCGGGGACAGTTGGGGACACTCGGGGACAGTTGGGGACACGTATGGACAGTTGGGGACACGTATGGACAGTTGGGGACACCTACGGACAGTTGGGGACACCTACGGACAGTTGGGGACACCTACGGACAGTTGGGGACACCTACGGACAGTTGGGGACACCTGGGAGCACCTAGGGACAGTTGGGGACACCTATGGACAGTTGGGGACACTCGGGGACAGTTGGGGACACCTACAGACAGTTGGGGACACTTAGGGACACCTATGGACACTTGGGGACACCTGGGAACACCTACAGACAGTTGGGGACACCTGGGGACAGATGGGAATACCTATGGACAGTTTAGACTCCTGGGGACAGTTGGGGACACCTACAGACAGTTGGGGACACCTACAGACAGTTGGGGACACCTATGGACAGTTGGGGACACTCGGGGACAGTTGGGGACACCTACAGACAGTTGGGGACACCTGGGGACACTGTCTACGGACAGTTGGGAACACCTGGGGACACCTATGGACAGTTAGGGACACCTGGGAACACCTACAGACAGTTAGGGACACCTGGGAACACCTAGGGACAGTTGGGGACACTCGGGGACACCTATGGACAGTTGGGGACAGTTGGGGACACCTACAGACAGTTGGGGACACTTAGGGACACCTATGGACAGTTGGGGACACCTACAGACAGTTGGGGACACCTATGGACACTTGGGGACACCTGGGAACACCTACAGACAGTTGGGGACACCTGGGGACAGATGGGAATACCTATGGACAGTTTAGACTCCTGGGGACAGTTGGGGACACTTAGGGACACCTATGGACAGTTGGGGACACCTGGGGACACCTAGGGACAGTTGGGGACACCTGGGGACACTCGGGGACACCTACAGACAGTTGGGGACACTTGGGGACACCTGGGGACACCTATGGACAGTTGGGGACACCTGGGGACACTGTCTACGGACAGTTGGGAACACCTGGGGACACCTATGGACAGTTAGGGACACCTGGGAACACCTAGGGACAGTTGGGGACACCTGGGGACACTCGGGGACACCTATGGACAGTTGGGGACACTCGGGGACACCTATGGACAGTTGGGGACACTCGGGGACAGTTGGGGACACCTACAGACAGTTGGGGACACTTAGGGACACCTATGGACAGTTGGGGACACCTACAGACAGTTGGGGACACTTGGGGACACCTGGGGACACCTATGGACAGTTGGGGACACCTGGGGACACTGTCTACGGACAGTTGGGAACACCTGGGGACACCTATGGACAGTTAGGGACACCTGGGAACACCTAGGGACAGTTGGGGACACCTGGGGACACTCGGGGACACCTATGGACAGTTGGGGACACTCGGGGACACCTATGGACAGTTGGGGACACTCGGGGACAGTTGGGGACACCTACAGACAGTTGGGGACACCTACGGACAGTTGGGGACACTCGGGGACAGTTGGGGACACCTACAGACAGTTGGGGACACCTGGGGACACTGTCTACGGACAGTTGGGAACACCTGGGGACACCTATGGACAGTTAGGGACACCTGGGAACACCTAGGGACAGTTGGGGACACCTGGGGACACTTAGGGACACCTATGGACAGTTGGGGACACCTACAGACAGTTGGGGACACTCGGGGACAGTTGGGGACACCTACAGACAGTTGGGGACACTTAGGGACACCTGGGGACACCTATGGACAGTTGGGGACACCTGGGGACACTGTCTACGGACAGTTGGGAACACCTGGGGACACCTATGGACAGTTGGGGACACTTGGGAACACCTACGGCCACTTGGGGACACCTATGAACACTCGGGGACAGTCAACGATACTGGGGGACACAGACACTTGTGGACAGGCAGGGACACTCACGGACAGTGGGGGAGAGACTGGGACACTCAGGGAGAGACAGGGGGACACTCAGCCAGAGACAGACACTCTCAGTCACAGTGACAGACACGTAGAGAGACACTCACAGCGAGACAGACACTCACAGAGCCTGGGGGAGACTGAGACAGAAAGACACAGACAGACATCCCCAGACACAGACACCCCAAAAGCAGCCAAGGGTGTGGATTGAGTTGTGTTCTGGCCACACCTCTGAAGTGGCAGAAAAGCCTTCCAGTTCATAGCATCTTTCCAGCTTCTCTCCAGAAGTGCCAAAACGACTTACCAATGTTCTTTCCCCCCTGCCCCGCCAAAGTTAAATTCAGTCACGTGTATTGAATAATCGGAGTGAGTAAGAAAACCATGACTGAGAATTTAAGGAAATTCTTTCTCTGTCAAAGTACCTCCTGTTCAGTGTACTAAGAAATGCTTGACTTGTGTGTCAGGAAGAGTTGTTTCTGTAGCACTGAAACACATAGAGAATTTCCTCAGTCTCAAAGCACATAAGTAAGTTTCTCCTGCTCAAGTTCTCTGCACCGCTTTGCAGACCCTGTCCTTTTGACGTACAGAAGGGACAGACCATTGTCCTCTGAATAAAGCTGTGAGAGACTACCCAAAACAATACTTACAAAACACATACTGATACATTACGTGCCAGTCTGCTAGAACCCCAGCTGTGATCCTCTCCAGGGGTCTCCTGTGGGCATTAACAGTTTTTGCAGGGAATTGAGGTTTCACTGTTTGACCAAAGGGGATTTATCAATTGGCTATTTACAATCTCCCAAATCCTATTTACAGGTCCACCTGACTTTCATTTTTCATACAGGTGAAAACTAAGAATGGAATAACAAATACACAGTTCTTCAATCAGTGTCTGAAGTCTGAACTTCAAATTCTTTTGGAAATGAGGTCAGTTATTAAAAGTTTATCTTAATTGAACTGCTAGCTTTAAATACATTCCTGGGAGCAAATTTTCTTTGCTACTATATACTGAGAGACTGAGACTTGCAGGTTTCTTTGACAACTACTTCTGAAAATAACATGAATTTTGTATGTCTATGAACAGTAGTGAGCTGCTGAGTAATGTAGCATTTACGGTAAGGAGTATTAATTACATTTTTTATTTTCTTGCCACTTTTTTACTATGTGTGACAAGCTGCTGCTGTGAGTTACTTTGTTTCTTTCATTAAGGTTGCTTTATAAAATAAAGTGAATGATTCCCCCAAGATTAAAAGTAGCACACTGACTGAAACAAGTTAGCTATTCAGAGCAAAATCCTGACTGTTGAAGACATTGGAGTTTTCCTGGACCAAGAAATGCTAGTTATTTGCCTTGTTTTCTGAGGAGAGGATGTTTACATTTCCACATTTCCGCCCCCCCCCGGCCCAGACTACAGATCATTTCAGTGTAAGGAAAATGGAGATCTTAGCATAACAGTGACACCAAAAGATGGATGCTCAGAAAAACACAGGAAAGAGTTGGCGAGTTGGAAGCATGTCCTTAACTACCGTGTTTCTTCATCTAACTGCCAGACAATATATAGAGCCTGTCATGCACTCAATCCCAGCACAGGTTATACAGAAAATAAGCCAAACGGAGACTTGCCCTTGCGATTCTTTTTTCCCCTGTCATCAGAAACTGCTCCCTCGGCGTTTCGCTCCCCTCGGCGGTGCCACGCTCTCCCTTTGGGTTATCGGAGAGATTTCGTCCCGAGGTGTTGGGTAGGAAAGCCGGGGGTGTTTATTTTCAAGGAGCTCACTTTTGCTCTGAATGTGGCTATTGCCTTGGTTATCTATCTTTGTCTGTCTAGTAATTACATTAGACACTGCAAGAGTAGGAGGTGGGGTTAGTTCTGTGTGTTACCCATTTTTCAGGTGGGGAAAATGGATCTAATGAAGTAAATAACAAATCCTTACCGGAATCTGCCTCAGGCTATGTAGGAATCAAAGAACTGAAATGGAGCCCTATAATTAGACCAGGCCCTGTGTCCATGTCAGATGATAAACAACTTACATAAGTACTGTAAAACTGTTTCCCTTGACACACCATAATGGAACATATGCTCAGACAGGCGGTTAGCTCCGTCCCTCCCATGTACTGCTGCTTTCACTTGCAAGGATTTAAAAAAAGGAAACTGGTTTTTACAAAGCAGGTCCTAGAGAAAAAGAGAGTAATGGTTGAATATAAATCTTTTCCTTGCTGCTTCCATCGGGTTGCTTTAGTATGTGAAGAAATAGAGTGCTTGTTGTAATAACCTTTTATATGCAATGAGGCTAGGAACTATAAGAAACATCCCAATTTAGCTAATGAGCAAAGCCGTCATTATTACAGGTGAACTGTCTCGTGGTGTGTATTACCAGTAATAGTTCTTGCCTCTTTCAAGTAGTTCTTCGCAGTAGATGTTGTTTAGAAAGCTCTAGCAACTGCAGTGTCCGTAACGGGGAAAAAGCATATC